CCACTACTGCCAATCAAGCGGCTGCTTTCAGCACTCGGCATAACGCGTCATCGTGGCCGCCGTTAGCGAACTCCAATTTGATCGCGAGACGGTGAGATAGGACCCGAGTTGTCCTACGGCTAAAATCTCTGGGGAGAAGTTCTCCTATTTTGACTTATAGTTCGACCGGCAAATTGGGTGTATTGCTACATTTTCATTTGTGCGTTGTGGACTACACGTTGTGTGGGCGTATATGGACACTTGGCCGCGCTGTGTCGCGGGAGCTGGGGATGCAATGCTAATACACGAGGCTTACCCTCCCTCGATTTGTAATAACTGTCCCCTTGTAATGCCGCGAGAATGCTTACCTCCGGGCTGTGGTAACCAGGCGCACAAACTTAAACACAACGCGCATTTACAAAAATCCCTTCTAACATTCAAGTCCAAATCGCAATGCAAAATACAATCGACAAGTAAACCTACACACCAACTAGGATCCAACTATGCAATTAAACATCATAACCTGGGGGATTCTCAATTGGAACGCCGCCGACCATGGTTACAGAGCTTGACCCTGCAGCCTGAGGGGAAGTGTAAGTAGCTAGGTTCATGTAATGATTTAGCATCTATTGTATGGGCATGAGCGTGGAATAACATACGAAGACCATCCTCCTCTTCCGATGCGGCCTGCCGCTTCATATATATTGCTCGCTCCTCGTCTTTTCCAACAGGCTCACAAACTCGAACATTGCACGATCCTTAAACCGAATCTCTACCTTTGTCCCATCTGTAAGGCCCCCGCCTGCTGAAGGCCGTACATCAAACGCGAGGTAGTTCGAACCAAATGTAGGCTGGTCAAATCGGGTGGAAAGAATTGAGGGTAGAGGTATCGAAATTGTTTCAAATGTGAATCAGGATTAGCTACGAAAGAAGCTAGGGTGTTGCATAGGTCGAGCGCATTAAGATGAATGAAGATGTGGTGGAAATGGGCGCGTACCCTTTGGTCGTCAGGAAGGCTTTCCCTATCGCCTTGAATTTCTTGGATCCCCCAGAGCCTCCAGCGGTCGCGGTACTGGTAGGGGGCGCATCCGGGACGATAAGTAATATTTCGACACCGATTCAATCGTCGTAATCGATAGTTCATTTGGTAGAGGAACGGGGGCTCCGTTAGGGTTTAACATTGTCCAATTTAATGCCATATTGTAGGGAGCGACTCGAGGGGGTTCTGGTGGTTAGTGGCAAGTGTGATTGATATCATTGGTAGCGGCGGGGCAGTGCATGATGACCTCCTGGATCAGAAGCACTTACCCCTAGTGGTGCCGGTTTATGTTCGTTCTATGGATGCTTATTCACATGGCTACCTAGCGCAATGGTAGCGCGTTTGGCTTCGACTGCTGACGTGATACCAAAAGGTTGCAGGTTCGAGTCCTGCGGTGGTCATTTTTGTCCGTGTCCTCACTCCCTGATCTACACACTTGACTTGGACGCCATATTACTTTTTCCAATTTCATCCTGGAGCTGCCTCTGTTATGTCTACTCCTAATTTGGTTTGTAGCATCAGGAACTTTCGCGTCTACTTTCCCAGCTGGCGGATGATCATCATGACTGATCATTATCATCTACTTGTAGAATTGTTCAATATCCACTCATCATGATTGAAAACCGTGGACGGCGATGCCGCTTTTCTCATTCGAATGCAGCCTTAGGCCTGGCGACCCTCAAGGCCATACTAATTGGATGTCCCCACCTGTGGTAAGTTGCCGAAATAGTGGAAGACGGGCGCATTTCGATCTTTGGACGATCGCGACCTGCTCGCTCATCTGTTCCGAACGCACATCATTGATTCATCTCTGGAAGTTTCAATTCTAGGTGTGTGCGGTGGTTGGCAGATCCCTCTTCGATTATAGAGCCACAGCCTAGCCCTGGCGCGCCGCGTTGGGAGGCGAAAGGAAAGCGTGATGGCAATCAATAGCGACCGACCAGCCTCGTCTAAAAACGATTATAAGTATTATTCTAGAGAATGAATCACTCACGTCCATTCTCATCCGGATAAGTCTGGTGTGTACGCCATTTTCACCTTTTACCGTGCTCAAAAACCGCCGGTTATGCGTTGTTTTTACCCTGCCCTCCTTTCGAAAATTCTACGCACTGTCCGCTTATCCGCATTATACATGAGCCCTGCCTACACATTATACCACCCAACCTATCTTTTCCACACAAATTTTACCATTGAAATACCCCACATCCAGCCCAGCCGTTGTTGCGGCGGATCCCCTCTTCTCCGCTCCCCACAAGCAACACAGGCCACCAGAAATCCTGCACGGAATTTCTTCGCCACAATCACCTATGTGAAATTTGCTTTCGGGCTCATAAATATAAATTCTTTGGTACATCGTTTGCAATGTCCCAGTACCTACTATAATATGCCAGACTTAATATTACGGAGATGCCTCGTCGACTAATGATTAATTAGCTTTACAAGAAATACAATACCTTACGCGATAATAACACCTCAAAATCCGTACTCATTCTGGTGGAACTCACAAGGCTGCCGCCCAATCGCCATACCCTCCCCTGCCACGAGAGTGCGTACCTCCTCATACCTGTCCTCCTCGGTGCACTTCCCGCAATCACACACTACTGTAGCCTTCACACACGGGTCCTCTGTCACGGGATCCCGGAAGTGCCAGTCTGCGCACACGCCCTGCCCGAAGGGGTGCGGGACGAACTCGTCGTCCTCCGCGCCCGTCCCCATGCCGGGATATCCTTATCTTCGGCGTCCTCGCCCCCAAGGTGCTCTGCGAGGAACGGGTGGTATAGCGCCCCTCGCGGAGTGATTCGTTTCGTGGATTCGGGATTCATGAGCCGCTCGACGAGGTCAAGTGCGGACTCGATATCTTGTTTGTAATCTGTCTGGGCTTGCGGTGATATGCGCGCAGGTCCTAGCAGTGCGGGTGATGAGTCACGCTGGGCATGGGACGATGGGGACGAGAGGAGGATGGTGGAGGTGGCGCATGGTGGGCGAAGTCGTGTGTCTCTTGGTATTGGGGGGTGTTGTACGGGAAGTAGCGGAGGTCAGGCTCTCGTGGTTCATAAAGATCTGGGTTTTGTTGCTCAACAAAGGAGCGCCATGACGTGCCTTCCGGTGATATAGATGGAACGTTTGTTGAGAATGTACGGCCTTTGAGTGGACAAGGTTAGCGGGTCCTGTTAGTTTTATGTGCGATGCGCGGAACCTACTATGTAGCGTTGCCGTCTTCTCCATTTTCCGCCGCCCAATAATGGTGGCGATCTCCATAAGGGCCTCAATGTCGTCATTTGACTGGAATAGGGGGAATTTGCCCGTAAGAAAGAACAATAATATCATTCCAGTAGCCCAGACGTCTATGGCTACAGTGCGTCGTTTCATATGAGGGACATGTGAAAAGTAGGTTAAGCTTACCCCCAGTCTGATCGCCGCATTTTAATAGAACCTCCGGTGCGCGGAACCCTCTGGTCCCAGCGCGATTCGCTTTCGAGATCGGCCTTCGTAAATTGAATGTATTCACTCCACTGAAGGCTGTATTGGGATAACCAAGACTCACCGTGTGTCCTTGTCGGGTAACCTACCTTCTCGGAAGGTAGGGTGGATTTCAGACGAGCTTCTTTTTGCATGGCTTTCACTTGATCAACATTAAATTCATTGCGACTTTTAATTCGTCCGTGTGGGTGGTCGCTGGTGGGTGAACTGTGCAAACATGCCCCTGCATGACTCGAGCTAGGCTCCATACGCTACGGCATGTTAGGGAAGCATACGGAGGGGCTTATATGCACAACTTACCGACGCGAGGCCGAATCACAAAGTGTGCCAATACCAGTGCGGGGATCAAAAAGGAAATTAGCCGGCTTCACGTCACGGTGAATGATGGCGCGAGTGTGAATGTCGCGCAGAGCTCGAAACATACACCGGAAGTAGGTTTTGATTCCTTCAATCGGGAGAGTTCGGTAGAAGTCCTGGAAACAAGTTGATTAGCACATGGCGTACAGGAATGAATGCGAAGAATAGCGTGGCACTAACACGAAAGTCCTCGTTGCGGTGATATGGCATAATGGCTACAACCTGGTCGTAGTGTCGAAATGCAGTTATTAATTGTGAGATGTGACGGCATCCCCTACAGTCCTCCATTATAGATATTTCGTTCCGTATGCGCTCTGGGCTGCTTGTCACATATATCCTTTTAATTGCCACAAAGACTTTCGCCCCACGTGGACGGGGCATTGACTGGTAGTAGGCTGATGATGATGGTGGGTGGTACCCATGCCACGGGGTGTTGTCCCACTTGTCGTGGTACCATAGATCAATGGCTTGTATACTGAAGAGAACGTGCCAGTACCCAAACGATCCACAATCTTGTAGTCCGAGGTGAGCTGTGGGACTGCCTCTTCCAAACTTGCGATCTCTTCCTCAATCTCTTGCCGTTCATCCGGAGACTTGAGATGTATAGTCATTTCCTCGTCTGTCTCCCCCTGAGCATCGACATCCCCCAGCTCCTCGTCATCGTCTTCAAAGAGAGCCTCTTCATCCTCATCCTCCTCTAGGTCATTCCCAGCCACAGGTATGACCGCCGCTTCCTCGTCGCTCATGTCTGCATCCAAATCAACCAATGGGTTTTTGGAGGGTGCCGAAGTTGCGCCGTTCATGGGGTGATTTGGCAAGATGTGCGACAGATGCTGGTGATACTGTTCCAGCTCTGGTATTGTATAACTTTGGATTGGGTCATCTGACGATGCATTATGTTCAGCAGCAAGTGCTTCCGCGGATAAGTATTTGAGATTATATATATTGTTCCGCACGTCTGACGAACCAGCCTCGAGGGGATTTGAGGAGTGTTGCGAGAACAGGGTGGCCATCCAGAGTTGGTGAACACAGTTCAGTGTCTCAAGAGGCGAGCGCGACGGACGTGAGGTCACTTTCAGGTTGTATCACGTGCAAATCACAACATCCGTTTGTGGTCAGCGGGTCAGATGACATTGACAAAAAAAACCCCCGGCGGGATTCGAACCCGCAACCTCCAGATGCGCTCCAGCTGAGTTAGAAGTCTGACGTCATAACCATTAGACAACGGGGGCTGTTGAACAGTGTCTCAATGTCGCCTTGGTAATGTGATTGCTTTCTGTTTGCCTCGGAGGTAACAAGTCCATTTTCAGAACGCCGCGCATACCGGTCATCAGTGGGAATAAATACACTGGCGCCGTGTGAGTGGATCCGCGGGGTCTATGACCATTTCAGCGCGCGTGATTGGTGCGCGAGAAATTAATGAATTGTTTGGCTGTATTGACCAACGCCATGGAGCTCCCGGGTCACCGTGACCGCCAGCAATTTTGGTCAACTTGCCGGTGCTACGCTGCAAATTTCCATCAAGATTGAATCAGGGTTCCCAGTGGTATATTTCACGGGTGCATCGACGTAGGTTGGGGATATTGCCGGAGAACAGGCTACCTGTATTGAATCCCAGGCTCGTGTCGCTTCCAAATATCTCCTCTACCGGTTAGGGCTCCGCATAATTTCGCTCGCGAACTGCAATGTCGTCCATAGATGGTCCAGCAAATGTAATATCCAGCTCGCCCATATCCATACATGGCAGCTCTCCCGTTCGTAGACACAGCGCAACGGCCAGCGAAATCAGCGAGCTCACATCTTCCAGGGCTCGGCATTCGCCCACTCTCCCTCGTTCATTCGATCCGAACGACCCCCAGGTCAGGGAGCGGCAACGCACAATGGACGTGGACATGGCCATGCATCTCTCCCGTGCACGCCGCGAGACAATAACCCTCGCTTCTTCGCCCGTTGCCCCAGCCGTATATGATCCCATGTCTCAACAACCGATATCCCAGCTCTCTGCCCATGAGGAATTCGAGATTGACATGGCTCGCGGGCGGGACTCGTTGCATGATTTAGGACATGGCCACATTGACTCAATGGTGCCCAACAGGCAGTCATCGCTCGTTGACCTTCGCCCAATGCTGCAACAATCCCATGACCCATCGCTCCTGGCTTCCCTATCCGCCCAGGGCACCATCCCACAAACAGCCCTCGAGGACACTGCAACTTCCTCATATGGGCTTCCGACCTACCAAGCCAATGCCTCTCGCGCCAACTTTGACTTTTCGCCTATGGAAATCTTTGCTGCTGAGGAGAAACAACGACTTGGATTGTCCTCACCTACCACCCCCAACCCAACCACAAAATTTTCGCTTTCGGCCCTTCGTCGTCAGCATGAGAATAGCGCTCCTGATTTAGATGTTAATGATTCACGCGACGATGGCCCCTCGGACAATGTATCTACAACCTCACGACCCGCACGACATAGAAAGCTCAGCCAAAGCAACCCGCACCCGCGCGCGCCCCGCAGAGGTCTTGCCGGCAAGATGGCCCTCTTTGAGAGCAACCAAAACGATCCCACCCCATCCATTCTCAATGGTGGAGTTCACGGTGGACCGTCTTTTGATGGTCCCGGCGTATCCACTGGGGGTATTCTAAACACTGGCCATGATCGGCCATACCGGTTTTCTTTTTATTCCAATGCATTATCCGCCACAATCCATGCCCGCAGCCTCGGCGAGCTGCCTTCAGAGGGCCAGTCGTTTGAGGATTTATTCGCTGGAAACCCTGCCCCCAACAGGGATCGGCCCTCCTCGTCACGAGCGGGTGATGGGGGCCACGACCATCAACATGCGAACAGGCGATCGATGTACAACGACAGCAAGTCTGGCGCATACGGTACTGGGGACTCGGACGGGAGTACATGGTGGCTAGATGTCCAGAGCCCGACAGACGAGGAAATGAAAATGCTCAGCAAGGTGTGTGAGGCACATCATATACCATTGGACTAGCCCCGACACTTTCAAGGTGTTTTCTATCCATCCATTGACAACAGAGGACATTCAAATGGAGGAGACACGCGAAAAAATCGAGCTGTTCAGGAACTACTACCTTGTTTGTTTCCGCAGCTTCGACCAGGATCCATACAGCCCAACCCATCTTGAGCCGCTCAATATGTATATCATTGTATTTCGCGAGGGGATACTCTCAGTGAGTATTGATCGCGCCGGACTCTTCTATTTTTGACGTCCTGCAGTTCCATTTCCGCCCGACCCCACACCCGCAGAACGTGCGTCGTCGCATCAAGCAACTCAAGGACTACATCTCTGTCACGTCCGACTGGATATCGTATGCCCTCATTGACGATATCACTGATGCCTTTGGCCCTCTGATCCAGGGCATTGAGTACGAAGTCGACAGCATTGACGAGCTCGTCCTTATCCTGAAGGAGGCGGAGCAGAGCGACATGCTTCGGCGCATTGGGACGTGCAGAAAAAAGGTGATGGGGCTTTTGCGACTCATGGGGAATAAGGCAGATGTTGTCAAGGGGCTTGCGAAGAGGTGCAACGAAAACTGGAGGGTCGCGCCAACATCAGATATCGTACGTAGTTCAATTTCGGCCTATTTCAACGGCTTATACCAATTCATTTTAGGGCCTCTATCTCTCTGATATCCAGGTATATTCTACACGGATAGTTGTGGCATTAGCACGAATCTAACACGGATCTGTCCTTGACAGGACCATCTCATAACTATGACCCAAAATCTTAACCACTACGAAAAAATTCTCTCTCGCTCACACTCCAACTACCTCGCCCAGATTTCCATCGAGATGACAGACGCAAATAACCAAATCAACGATGTTCTGTCCAAGCTCACCGCCCTGGGCACAGTGCTCATCCCTATGAACCTGGTCACCGGTGTGTTCGTTTTCATCCTGCTCCCTGATTTTTCTGAACCCAGCCTTGTCCAGGTTTATGGGGGATGAATGTACACGTCCCTGGCCAAGACCAGATGGAGGTACGTGCAAAGTTCTTGAAACATCCTTCCCTAAATTCCAATATTCTTTTCAGGGCTACGCTTGGTTTATTTCTATCATTGCCTGCCTTGCGGCATTTGCCTGTATCGGCGGGTACTCAACATACAAATTTATGGTTCGGCGATAAATGCTTATGCTTTACTTCTGGGATGTATAAATATACTGCGGACACACGGGACTGGGTTGTCACATTATTTCCATCACATATTCTGGTTGCTTCATCATAGATCACGACATACCATGCCCATTATATATAGTATATCCAAAATAGCGGCTCTTGCCCATGTATCGATTTCAATAACACAGCAAGAAAGTACAGAGCAAAATAAAAGCTACAGCATATAATAAAAAGGAGAATCATTCAATTGCCCCGGGTAACCAGCAATTTAGCTGCATGCATCGATGGTGAACCGCTGCTGCCATTTCGCAGAGGTGGACGTATATAACCAGAACGAGGAGATGTCTGATTTGTCGGGGAGACGATCATAGCTAGCGATGGTGATAGTGTTTGTTGTGGGCGGGAGGAGGGGCCAGCGCCATTGGGAACGGGGGCAGTCCGCCGGTTGGGAGTTGGTGGCGACATATAGCTGGCGTCATACGGTTGCGAGGCGGAATGTGCTGTGTGAGTGGGGCTGGCTGTGTTGGAGGACGTAGGAACCGGAAGAGGCCCAGCCCGCCGCTTCGGTGAAGGGGGAGACATATTCTCGAGATCACCCTTTGTGGGGAATTCCTCCGTGTGCTTACGTTTCCTGGATGAGACCTGAGGAGGGGTTAGTCGAGGCGGTTCAATTTGTCGGCGGTGGCTAGACGGTGGTGCCGCTGGTGTAGTAACGGTGCTCCATCGAGACCATGAAGACGAGATGTCTGTTGGTCCTGCTGAAGGTCTATTCGGGGTTGGTGGTGGTGCTGTTGGCGGTGAGCTGTGTGCGTGGCTGCGATGGTGTGAGGAAGATCCGACGTGAGGAGCGGTTTTAGGAGAATGGTGATGGTTCGCAGGTGGTCGCTGCGTTTGTCCGTTTGCATGGTCGGCATACCCTGCTTGGAAACGCACAAGCTCTACAAAGAGAGTTGCTCTATACGGGGGAGCCATTTTCTTGTAGATGACGTCTTTGCTGAAGGTCTCCAGCATCTCCTTTGTATCGACACATATATCAGGAGCGATCCCCTCATCTGAAGAGCCAATTCATTAGACGTCATGGAGGACGGGATGAGCGAACATACCAATAGGTTTCACCCGGACCTCAGAGAACGGGTAAGGCTTGTTCTTGCGTAAACAACACAACGGACACATGTACCGCCCATCTTGAGCGATATCTATGCCAAAGAGGACGCAGCCAGCATGGTAGCTTTTAGAACAAAATTCACATGTAACGGTTGGATAATTGAGGAGGTATGGTGTACGGCCTCTGCAGATGCATCTGGTCCCATCCGACCAATCTTTGTCAACATCTTGGCCAAACGTGAATCGCGGCCTTCGTCTCTTCTTGGTGCGTGGTTGAAGTGGTGGGCGGCCAGCAAGAACACGATGGAGTCCGGCAAGGTCCAATCCAAAGGAGACATCAGGGTTTGGCGACACAGCGAATTGGATTTTATAGAGCTTCCTCATATAATGGCGGACTTGGTGGATGTGTTGAGGGTTTTGGTTGGCCGGCTGCGATGTGAAAGCTAAAAATTGACCAATAACAGCAGAAAGTCGGTCGACGCGATGCACGATGATCTCTAGTTGTTTATAGGCCTCCGAATGTGCTTTAGTGATGGCGGGTGCCTTGGCGAGTAGCGTCGGCAGGAAACAGAAGTGCCAGCTGCGCTCTTTGTGAATAGTACCGTTCCAATGGTGCTGATCACAGAATGGACAAGAGCCACCATTCTTCGCACATACGCCGTGGAAACGCGCGTAACAATGATCGCACTGAACCGCATCTGAGGTGGATCCAGGGAGTGGAGGACGGACGGGCGTGGTACAGATACAGGTAAAGTACTCATCAGGTGGTGGGAAGTCATCTTCAGGCTTGCTGCATTCTATGACATCATGAAGAATCTCCTGACCAAGTGTGACCTCATGACCAGGGCAATACCACGGGAGATCTTGGATCCAGCGCTTGTGATTCTTCAATTCATTGTCGAGTTTCTCGAAGAGGGGCAATGAAAACATGTTTAATCGTTCCCTGGCGTATGTTTGCCATTGTGCCATGATTGCAAAGGGGTCGT